GCAATCTGCTTCTGTAAAGATTTGCAGCCTTAGAAACCCAATAGGGATCACTCTAAGGTGGAATCGACTCCATGGCAGAGTGTGTGTGTGTGTGTGTGTGAGAGAATGTGAATCTTTATAAAAGCAGACTGCTTTGCCTTTCTCTCATGGAGCAGCTTTTGGGTTTGAACCGCTGACCTTTTGGTTAGTAGCCCAATGCCTTAACCATGGCAACTCCAGACCAAAAAACCAAAACCAAACTCACTGTTGTCAAGTTGGATCCGACTCATAGCAACCCCTCCTTAGGTTTCTGAGGTGGTATCGCTGTGTCACTAAGGAAGTAGATTGCCCAACCTTCTCAGCCACTCCTTCTAAGGAGTGGCTGGTGGGTTTGAACCACCAGCCTTCTGGTTAGCAGTCAAGTGCCGTAGGCCCTACACTACCAGAGCTCCTTGCAACACCAGAGCTCCTTTAAATTCTACAAACCCCCTGGAGAAATTCACAGTATAGATGAAACAATGACCTGGGTGTAGCTTTAAAAAAGATGTTAAAATTCAACATGTTATTTTTAAGTTCACTTTCATCAGAAGTGATTAACAGTAAGTCCAATTATCATGTATCCTTATCTCTACTGCTCTGTTCAGTTTCTATAGTATCTACTTTGACATCCATGCAAATAGGTTTGTTATTTAGGTGAGTAAAGCCAGACTCTGTAATAAAACACTGTGATAGCAAGGGAGTAGTTGTCACTTTATATTAAAGAGGAAAACTAAATAAAAACTAAACAGCAGAAATCTGCCTCTTATGATGGAGAACAGAACATAGCTAAATGAAGTCTTACTTGAGATCTTTATCTCAACCTGAGTAGTTGGCAAAGAGGTAACTTTTTAAGCTCTAGATATATTGTCTGTAGTTTCTGGTTTCTCCTTTTAGCCCATTGAAGGCAATTAGTACACGATACTTGAATAAACAAAGTGTTTTTATGTTCAAATTATTTATGTTAAAAAAATTGAGACCCTTTTCAAAGGAGAATCATGTATCTAAATATTTATGTTTCTCTTTCAAAGATGAGACCTTTATTATTAGGTATTTGTCATCACTGAAGTCTTATTTAAACAAGCCTTTCAACTAGAAAGATGAGTTGAAGCAGCATGGTCCCTAGGCTTCTGATTTTCCTTTCTTGAGATATCTGGATTTCATCTTGCTGTTGTGAAAAAATACGTTAATATCTAATTTTAGTCTCTCATCAGGGTATAAAAAAGGACCTTATTGATCTTATTCTATGAACTTTTATGAACCAGAGTTACAGTAATGTTGTTTTTAAACTATGAATGGCTTAAATTATATAAAGTCACATATAAAAGTTTTCCAGAAATTATAATTTCTTGTAAAAAGAAGAGTGATTAACAAATAGACATCATAGGGCACTGAAATGGGGGAAGGTTCAAATTATAAGGATATATTCAAATTGAGAAGGAAGTGGACTAAAATGTGAGTACTTCATCATATTGACATAATGTTTTCAGGTAAGATAAGGAACTACTTAGGAAGAGAAACAAAAATGCTCTGTTCTTTAGTGATCCTAGGGCTTTTTTTTTTTTTAATCACCATAGCAACTACAAGGACTATGATTTCATTTTTGAGGTCAGAAACTATAAAGATCGGTTATTTCCAAACAAACAAAAATAGTAAAAAGCTATAAGAGATCTCATCTCTGACTTTAAACTGTGAGAACAGCTACAGAATTTTCTTTAGTGCATGTACCATTTTTCTGTGTGCAGTGCCTCAGGGGCCTGAGTATGTGCAAGGACTTTAAAAAGGATTTCCTGGACTCCAGCCAATTTTGACAGCATTTTCTGAGAATGCACCAAGGAGCTATTATCTCGATACCCAGGGAATATGACATCCCCTGCCCCAGTTTTTGCTTTTCTCATTTAAGTCAGAAAGTTTTCCTGCCTTTGCAACATGCTTCCCAACTTTGCTAAAACCATTCATACCTCAATTCTGAGCAATTCTCCAATTTTTCAGAGAAATTGGGAGCTTACCAGAGATTTGGATTAAAATCAGAAAACTTTGCAAGCATAAATTCTCAAAGAGTGGAAAAAAATTATGTGTGTGTTTGTGTGTGTGTGTATGTGTGTGTGTGTCTATCAAAATCATAGCTGGGTAACTTTTATTCTGGGGAGGGAGATCTCATATCCCGTTCCTTGAATCTCCTCTTCATAGGAGGTCATAGTAATGCATTCTAAGTGTTTGGACTCCCGATATACTGACTAATGTGGCTCATTGCCCAATGTGAATTTAAGTAATCTGCCTGTCAGGCAGTCAGCTAGGCAGGATCGACTGGAGGGCTTGTCAGAGTTCTGGATCTACACCCTTTGGCTGGCAGCCAAGCAAAGACGGAGTTGATGACTTACAGCATCAGAAGTTGAACCAAATCAAGTGCTTGTGAAATCAGGCTGCCCAGGTTAGACGAGTTACAGAAGCAGCAAAGAAGTCATGCTGAGGCATGAACCCAGCACCTGACCTCATCAGGCTCCTGGAATAGCCCTAAATATTCATCCAATCGAAGATTCTCCAGTTAGAGGCATAAGATGATAGTTGAATTTTACAAGGTAAATAAAATAATTACTATAATAGGCATGCTAGGAGCTCTGGTAGCATAGTGGCTAAAGCACTTGACTGCTAACCAGAAGGCTGGCGGTTCAAACCCACCAGCCACTCCTCGGAAGGAAGGTTGGGCAATCCTACTTCCGTAGTGATACTGCCTCGGAAACCCAAGGAGGGGTCGCTATGAGTCGGGGCCGACTCGACGGCACATAACAACAACAATAGGCATGCTTGAGTTCAAAGACTTTTAGGGAATTGGAAACAGAGATCTACTCAATCTTTTTAAAATTTTATTTTTTATTTTATTTATTTATTATTATTATTAATGAACTTTGCTTGAATAGGGAATTGTCTGGTGTTGCTTTTGTTGGTGCTGTCAAGTTGATATTTGAGTCACAGTGACCCCATGTGACAAAGCAGAACTGCCCTATAGGGTTTTGTACCCTATAATCTTCATGGGAGCAGATTACTACCTCTTTCTACCACAGAGATGCTGAGTGGATTCAGATGGCCAACGTTTTTGTTAGCAGCTGAGCACTTTATCCGTTCCAATAGGGCTCTTAAACTGCAATGCACTATTAAACTATTTTCTATTTTGTAGTGACAGGAACGGACTATAGCTTAAGTTACTTACTATGTCGTTTACTGAACTGGGGGAAAATATGGGAGGAGCAAGATTAGGATGTGAACATCAGAATACTATTTGGGCCATGATGATTTTGAAGTGCTCATGAGACATCAAGTGTAAAGAAAGTGGTTGAATTTGTGAGTCTGGAGTTCAGAGGAGAGGCCATCACTGGAGATAAAACTTGGGGGGTCATGTCATATAGACATTATTTATAGTCATAACACTAAATGGGAGAGGGCTATGTAGAGAGATTGAAAGAAGTTCCAAGACTGAGCCAGAACAGTCCAATACAGAGATTAGTAAGGGGATGTTGTTGTTGTTGTTATGTGCCGTTGAGTCAGCTCCGACTCATAGCAACCCCTCCTTGGGTTTTTGAAGCAGTATCATTACAGAAGTAGATTGGCCCATCTTCCTTCTGAGGAGTGGCTGGTGGGTTTGAACCGCCAGTCTTCTGATTAGCAGTCAAGTGCCTTAGGCACTATGCTACCAGAGCTCCCAGTAAGAGGATAATTGTGCAATAAAGGAGACTGAGAAGCAGTGGACAAGGAGATGGAAGAAAAACCAGAAGACTTCAGGTTACAGAAGCCAAATGAAAATACATACATACATACATACATACATACATAAAGTTTTAAGATGGAGAGAGTGATCAGCTTTATCAAAATGGAGATTGTGAATTGTCTATTGAATGTGTTCATGTTGAAGTTATTGGAAAGCTTGACTAAGACTGATGAGTTTAAAATGAATGATGAAAAATCACAAGTCTCATATGTCAATGGGTTTATATGTTTCCTTTTTTCTTTCCATAGACAGCTGATTCATTTCTGATTTCTTTTCAATTTTCAATATTCCAGAACATAAAAGATAACCTGCAACAAATCTCAGGTCGGATTGACGTCATCCATAAGAAGAAGACAGCAGCCTTGCAAAGTGCCACACCCACAGAAAGAGCAAAGCTACAAGAAGCTCTTTCTCAGCTTGATTTCCAATGGGAAAAAGTTAACAAGATGTACAAAGACCGACAAGGGTAGGTAACACTTTCATTTTATTGCATGATTGTATACTGGTTTCCAGAGAACTCTGGAAGGCATTTCATTTTCCTCTGTAGAAAAAAAGAGAGGGAAGAAGAAAGGGAAAGAGTATTACCATTATTTGAAAAAGGTAAGTGGAGTGAGCACAACTAATGATGAAAAGTTCAGTCTCATGAGCTGAATTCTGGAAATCATTGTGTACTGAAATCAGCATCGTGTCGGAGTACTATGTCATCCTCTGAAATTTCAGGTAATGTCAAAGGAAGGTTGGTCATTTATCTGGGGTGGTTTAAAAAACTGTACATTACGATATGTATATCTTTACATATCTTAAGTTGCATCTACATCCTATATGTTTAAGTTCTGATACTCATATGGATATGTTTGATAATGGCCCTATCAACAAAGAGGTGATTTTCATCAATCATTTATATTTTGAAGGGTGATACTTTTTGATTTTTAGTCACTTTTTGTTTTGCTGTGGGAAATTTGTTAATTTAACATAAGTACTTAGTGCTTGCCTTATTTAAAATATTTAGTTTTGAAAAAAAATTCCAATACATTCTTTAGCCTCACACCACCAGAAGGTGAAATGTTTCTTTTTCTTTTACATTTGAGGTTAAAAGTAACAATATTTTCTAAGTGATTAAAATAATTTCTGGCAAAACATGAATCATCTCACAATGTGGATGATTTGGAGGACATTATACTGAGTGAAATGAATCAATCACAGAAGGACAAATATTGTATGAGCCCATTATTGTAAAAAAAAGTCAAGGAAAGGTTAACTCAGGGAAGGAAATTCACTTTGTTGGTTATCAGGGATGGGAGAGAAGGGGAGGGAAAATTTCAGACTTGTTGGGGGTCACATCTTGATTTGGGTAGGGGGAGGGACGGTGTGGAAAGAGTCTGTGACCAGCATGATGACACTGGGGAACGGAAGGACACTGAAACATGCACATAAGATATAGACAGCAGAGACAAATACTATTA